TCTGTCTCTCTGCCTCCCTCATTTTAAATTGTATGGAAATATCCAGTAACATAATGCTATAAAAAATCAAGTGTCCCCCAGCACTTTGGGAAGCCGAGGTGGGTGGATCAATGGAGGTCGGGAATTCGAGACCTCCCTGGCCAACTTAGTGAAACCATGTCTCTGCTAAACATACAAAAATTGGCCATGCCTGGTGGTGGGCACCTGTAATGCCAGCTACTCAGGAGGCTGAGGCAGGAGAATTGCTTGAACCTGGGAGGTGGAGGTTGCAGTGAGCCGAGATTCTGCCACTGCAGTCCAGCCTGGGCAACAGAGCGAGACTCTGCCTGAAGAAATATAAAAAAAGCATAGCAAATAGCCTATAATAAGAAACTAGAGGACTCCAGCTACCAAATTTTAAGGGTTTGTATAAGCCTACGGAATGTGCAGCATCCTCAAGAGAGTGAACACAGAGAGCCCCTTATCGGAAAACAGTGTCTAAAATACATCCGTGCACACACAGTCCCGTTAGAGTTGACAGAGGCTGCCGTGTGGTTTAAGGAGGAATAGAATGTCTTCTCCATAGATAACATGGGCCCAAGGGTTACGCATAGAAAAAAATAAATCTACACGTATTCTCACACTATAAAACACTTCTTGTTTTTTATCTTGTTGTTGTAAATTTTTTATGATTTATATTTAAAATTGAGAAATAAAAGTGAGATACAATCGTCCTTCACTATTCGTGGGTGATTGGTTTCAGGATCTCTGCTCAGATACCACAATCTGCAGGTGCTCAAGCCTCTTACATAAAATGGCACAGCGTTTGCATATAACCCATGTTCATCCTCCTGTATACATGAAATCATCTCTAGATTACTTATAATTCCTGACACAGCCTACACACCATTTCATTTGTGTCCATTCCACATAGTTTTGCTTTTTGAAATTTTGTGGATTTTTTCTCTGAATATTTTTGATTTATAGTTGGTTCAACAAACACCTGTAAACCCCACAGATACGGAGGAGCGACTGTGTATTTATGGTATGAAAGATGATGTGTTGACATGTGTCCCCGTGGAGATGAGACTAACAAGGCCTATGACTCTACAGATGTTTCATGTTGGAATGGCTCTGCCAGCTTTCCAGGTCTGCAGAGAGTAAGAATATCACTTGTTCATCTGATTCACGATCCTTGCAACCTCCTATGCACTGCATCGTTGGATGGAAATTGGAGTTCCAGACAGAAATCAGGCTCCACTTTGCTTCCAACAGCTCAGAGTCCAGGGGTGAGAACCCAGTGGAGAACATACGGGGCTATATGGACATAGTAATGATAACACCACAAACTTTCAGCGAATAAAGAGTCACATTACCTAAAGGATGAGGGCAGATGTGTTTATTTGAAGAGGAGAGAGCTACATTGAAATGATAAAAAAATTTATAAGTTTCACTGCTGCCAAGGGCTGAAAGATAATCTGAGGGGAGGTGGAACAGCATGAAGGAAGATGGAACAGCACGTGCCTAAGTGCTGTGTTAAGAGGGAGCCTCTTGCATGTTTGGAATTGTGAGCTCCTCAGTGTGAACGCAGCCTCCAGTAGGACTAGGAAGTAAGCCAGTAGGTTGGAGAGGTGGACAGGAGTCAAGGGAAATGGAGAATTGTGGGCGAAGCAAAGGAGTGTGTTTTCTCTGCAGCAGGCAGTGGGGACCTTAGACATTTGTAAGCAAGAGAGAGGCATGTTCAGATTCGTGGTGTGAGGAAGAGCGATGCCCTAAGATGCAGACTCACAGCTTCAGATTCCTGCGGCTGGTACACTGGAGCTGGCAAGCCGGTTTTGAGACAGGGCTGTTGTCTCCCTAGAAGACCCCTTCAAGGCCTGACGGTGGTGCTCGTGGATAGAAGACAACTTTCGATCTGGGCTCCGCATTTGGAAGCTCCGTGTACACGCTGGTCTCTGTTGGGGGTGTCTTGGGCCTCTGAGAAGGGCGAGTGATTTTTCCCTGTGTGAGAACGCAGTGATCCAACTGTGCGTATGTCACCTCCTGAGG